TATCAAACTATCAGGCTTGTAGTTTTCAAGATGAAGTCAAAAAAGTAAAAAGTGACGTGGGCCGATGATGACGAACAATCATTCATATGATAAGCTCTGCTCGACAAAGTGAACAGCGGAGCTAATAAAAAGTTACTTACCAATTCTTTTATTGGCATTTTTTTTTGTTCCATAATCAACATAAACTGAACGATCTCATTAACCTAAAACAACAACAAATTCATTTCAAGATTTTGTTCATAGCAATACTGCTGAATCCAAAAAAACTCAGCTATACAATGGTTTCCTTCTCACCTTGGAATCAATTAAACCAGGAGCAATACTTGAAGCATTTCTTTCTGCCTGTGACAATGATTGTGTCTGAGAGGCTTGTGTCATTGGAGATTCATCGTCCTGTAACATTTAATAATAAGTGTTAATAAGTTATTAGTGTTCTCCCCAGTAATACAATGCCATGCAATGTAAAAAAACAACAACAAATAATTACATTAAAGTTTAAGAAAACAGTCATGGCATGTCAGTGATATGACTCTAGAACAGCATTCATTAAACAAAATGGCCGCCAGATGACCAATTAAACAAATGGCCGCTAGATGGTCATTATGAATTTGATAAGAAAAAAAAAATTATGTGCATCAAGGGTGATATATGTATCAAGTTTTAATGCAACCCATCCATACATGGCCATAATTGCTGGGTTACAAAATGGCAGAAATGAATGAATGAATTTTACCACAAAAATGGCAGCTGCTTGGCCATCTTAAATTGAATCATGAAATGAATTGACGTGAATATGTATGATTTGTACATTTCCCTAATGCGATTACGTGAATAAGTATACAGCATTTAGTTCAGAGAAAAATTTATATTAAAATCACACAACATTACCAAATCACAGATCCTTGTAAAACAAGCCATGCATGGCACAGTCCCTGTTAGTTATCGAATTTAAGATATATAGTTTTGTTTATAGTAATATAGCTGGAATATATGTCAGGAATATGATTATGATGATTGTTTAACATTTAAATGATTGACATTTGTATCTGATCGTCAAACAAGTATTGAGAGATATTGCTCTGGAACAGCATTAATTAAAACAAAATCAGCCATTTTATTTTGAATACATGTATAATGAATATATAAAATTTGAACATAGTCAAAGCATGTCAGAGATATGGCTCTAGAAGCCCATTCATTAAAACAAAATGGCCACTAGTCAGCCATTCTGAATCCGATCTAAAAAATAAAATAACCAGCATCAGGAACCCGTAATGTCTAATGTATGTACCAAGTTTGAACAAAATCCATCCATAAATGCTTGATATTTGATGATTTTTTAGCACAAAAATGGCCACCATTCGGCCATTTTTAATAGGATCGTCAAACCAATGTATCTGTATATCTATGACATGATGTATAATGAATATTTAAAATTTGAACATAATCAGTCACAGCAAGTCAGAGATATGGCACTAGAACCACATTCATTAAAACAAAATGGTCGCCAGTCGGCCATTTTGAATCTTATCTGAAAAACAAAATGATGTGCATCAAGGTCCTATAATGATCAATGTATATACCAAGTTTGAACAAAATCCATCTGTAAACAGCCGTGAAATGCTTGATTTTGATGATTTTTTAGCACAAAAATGGCCACCATTCGGCCATTTTTAATAGGATCGTCAAACCAATAAATCTGTATATCTATGACATGATGTATAATGAATATTTAAAATTTGAACATAATCAGTCACAGCAAGTCGGAGATATGGCACTAGAACCACATTCATTAAAACAAAATGGTCGCCAGTCGGCCATTTTGAATCTTATCTGAAAAACAAAATGATGTGCATCAAGGTCCCATAATGTCCAACGTATATACCAAGTTTGAACAAAATCCATCTGCAAACAGCTGTGAAATGCTTGATTTTAATGATTTTTAGAACAAAAATGGCCGCCATTCAGCCATCATGAATCAGATCGTGAAACAAATTGATGTATAATATCATGTATGATGTATGTGTGAAGTTTGATTGTGATTGGTCCAGGCATTTCTAAGATACAGGTCCGGATGCATAGACGCACGGAAGCATGGACGCACAGAGTCAAAAAATAAGTCCCCGTTTTCGGACTGCGTCCGAACGGAGACTAATGAAGATATTCTATCCTAATAACAAGTTTCCAGGTTCCTACCATGGTTCTAGCACCATATTTCACACACACAACTTATTTAAAAGTCAGTTTGTCATGAATAGACCGCAAACAATATTGCGAAATTATTACTTAACACTTTTTTTCAACATTACACATCACAGCATATGTAATTGACTGAGCTAAGCTGAAAGTGTCTGATACGAAGCCCCAGTTAGACCTTTTAAATACTAGTACTTCAGGAGACAACAGAATGTGCTTTATTCAGTTTTCAAACTGAAACAATTTTACTACAGGAATTTAGGAGCAGTCCATCATCCACTGGTGCTGAAAAACAACTAACAAGTTTTTTGTTTCCATTGGCATGTGAACTATTCTGCACATATATACTGTCAAACCCTTTTCTCATACATGTACAGAATGTGTGTGTTACCATTACTTTCGGCTGTACATATTTTTTGGGCTTAAAAAATCTAAATATAATGGTATATTTTGAATCTAGAACATTGGTGCATTAAGGTAGAGAGACTATTATTTGCATACTTGTTTTCATCTTCTAATTGTGACTAAATGGCTACAAAAAGATCCAGTAAAGTATATATTTTTAGAATCGACAAGGTTCAAGCTTTTTAAAAATTATTTATGTCTATGACATGCTTCCATATAAAATATTACTTTTTCTGAAAAAAAATTACACAATTATGCTTGTGCTAAAAAAGTGCTTTTTTTCATGTTTCCTACTAGTTCGGTAGTCTGTTAAATGAATGCATCTTAGCAGTTGTTGTTTATAAAAGTGAATTAAACTTGTGTTGTTCATTTTTGCAGATACTATTGAGGTTGCCTTGTCTCTCAGAAAAGCTGACATTATATGTTATTTCGACTTCAGCATTTGACAGTTTATTGTGCACTTCCATAAATTTAGAAATAAATTTGAAAAAAAACGTTATTTTCAACGCAAATAATTTATACTCTCGCTACCTTAATATAACACTTCCGAGTTTATTAGTCTAGTTTTGTTTAGTGTAAATGTAACCATTTTAATTCCTCCTGGGGAATTTTATGTGTTTAATAAAGTATAAGTACTTCCGAGTATCACGCTGAGTCACCTTCTTCGAGGGCTCAAATTAGTTTGAGGATCTATGAATGGTTAATATTATCATGATACTAGTAGTTATTATGTACTAGTTTTCGATGAAACTGATGAACAAGCAAACATATTACAGTCTACAAATCGAATTCCGGAAACAACCTTTAAACGAGAATCTACTTTACCGAATCTGCATCTACTTGCGATTGCCTTTGACTGGATTTCACCTTCGGCATCTTCGTTCACTGAGATGTAATTAAGCGTATTTTTAAGTAGCCCTAGTAACAGGAGCAGATCGAAGCAAAACGGAAGTAGCTGCTATTTCGCGGCAAGAACCAGCTGTATGCGCAGATAATGAATATTTGATTCTGGGCATGTATAGAAGAAATAACAACGGCTCACCGGCGAGGGCGTCATTACATTCCCTCGTGTAAACCTTTGGCGAACATTTCAATTTCTGTACGATTGCAAGAAGTTATCTGAACAATAAGTACACAAACACCAACACTCACGAGGTAACTCAAAATATGACAAAAGTTCAAATTTTAAAGATAGATAACATGACCAACATCAAATATTTTTTTTGTATTGTCTCTATCATGCATACACTAATCAATAAGTATAAATAATATAAACACTACACATAGTTCTTGTTTTACAAGTTACCCGTATTAAATCACAATTACAGGGATTATTATTTTATTTATTTTTGAAGCCAGGGGAATCACTATTAAATAAATAGGAGCTGCAAAAATTATAAACCAAATGGGCGTATTTCATAACAAATTAAACAACAATAACAAACTGGACAAAATATTACAAGTTAGTTAGTCTTAAATCTTTTGTCTTGGCTCCATGTTACTGTTAAGGAATTGTTTGTCGATGTTTGTGTTCAAGTAATAGGCATATTATTTGTTCAAAATTAGAGTACAGGTTTTCTCCCATACTCGGTAAGATATATTTGACCCCCTTTCCTGTTAGCTTGACTCTCTGCAAAATAGTTGCAACGAAGGACAAGATGCCCACAGAATTTCATCTTTCTCTTCACAACATGTGCAGTTTTCAAGAATGTTAATTTTTCTATTTCTCGGTCTATTCTACAAGCCAAATCAAGCGTTAATTTTTTGTTGGATTATCTTAAAATCTGTCATTGAATCCATATATGACTCACGGTTCCTATATGACTAAGATCAATTTATTTTTTCATATTTTTCCTTCACTTAGCTTCACCGTGGTTCAGAGCAGTCTTGTCTCATAATCAGTGATATTTTCAAAATGTTTCAGTATAATTTAACAATTGTTATTATATTATTTATGATACAAAGTGTTTGTGTTTGTAGAAGCTATAAAACGTTAACAACATGTTATTACCAATGGTTTACATATACAATGGTAATTAAGGCCGCGTGTCATCGCGCCCGGTTAGGGTAGATTTTGATAAAACAAATCCAAATTTAATTTATTAAAACTTCCATCAATATTTATGAAAGTTGACCCAAACCACGCCGTCAACGGCAGTAACCAGTCTAGGCTTGATGTATGGAATTATTTGCATATTGTCAATTTGAGAAGTCAGATACATTGGGATTGAATGTTTACAAGTATTAGCAATTGTGTTTCTATCTCATGAATACCTGGTTGAATACATATTCCCATATAGTCCATATGTAAACTAACGCCCTAGTGAACAAATTCCTTGAAACGGTTGGCAGTAAACAAAAACCCCGGACAAAACCCCATAAATTGGAGAAATTGTCGTCGCTGTGGATACAAGTATGTGAATAACAGATTCCATTATACTGACACGAGTAATACCAAGCAGTAGAGTGAGGGCAAATTTATTTGTTGATAATCTAGATCACTGAAAATCAATGAAAATTACCTGTCTAAAATAAATAAGTTGTCACTAGAGGGTGCTTAGTGTTTGGTGTTCACACGGTGTGTCGTACAAGACGTCGCACAACGTTCGATCTGGTGTGACAACGACGTTTAGGATATGAGTAATCCTTACAAGGCATCAAACTTCGCTGTATATACGGCCAGATTTTGAATGATAGCCGCCATTTTGTTTCATTTAGGCCGGATGTTTAGGGTGCACCGAGGAATTCGAAACAGTAGTACATAACAGAATTTGAGTTTGCCCAGATATAAATTACTTAGTCTAATGAATCCGACACAACACAACATAACTATTGAATGTCAAGGATAATTGCTCGTATCGTTATTATTCTTATTGCATACAAACAATTTACGTTTTTAAATGTTCCAAAGTATCCATGTTTTCTGACGATTCAAAATTGTACAGAACCATTCATGTACCTGTCACAAATTACTAGAGATCTTGGTCGAATTATATTAGTGTTCTAGTTGGCATCTTGAAATTATTATTGCTAAATGAAATGTAATTACTTTTCTATGAAGTTTTATCGCTTATAAGTAATAGAGTTAGTGATATTAGAGTTCTTGGCGTTACTTAACAGTAATCCCCATTACGAGGCTCATATAATTAGGTATACGTAAACAGAGATATATAGAATGCTATTGAACTCGTTAAATCTCTGTAAGTCACAATAGTAAAGAGTCACCTAGAATATTATTCAGCAGAAATTTATAAGGATTTTATGCACTATAAATATAAATTTATAAGTATTATTTACTTATCACATGACCAGTCATTTGTGTGTCCATTTCAATTTGTCATCATTAAAAACTGCCAGAGATGTTCTTCACTTATTTCGTTTCTTGCATATCTCACCTCAGTCTACCAAGTTGCGCTTGCCTTTTTTTAGCCGTAGTATAATAAAATAAAATAAACTTATTAACTAGATGTTAAAGAGGTTAAAATATATACGACAATAATTGGTCATGATGCAGGACACTTGGGGAGTGCGGTCCATTCTGGCATCGTCAGTCGTGTAATTGCGATCATGAATTGGCATTCTTGTTGACGAAGTGCAATATGGTCAAACACATTTTGATACTGTAAACCAAGTCGGGTTATGCTTTATTATGAAATAAAACTGTTGATTTTGCGAGACACAAAACAGTATTCGTTAAATGAAAAAATGCCATGTGCGTGCGTGATTGTTATTGTGCGTACAAAAACACAAGTACACATCTTTTACGTCCTCTCCGAAAGGTAGCAATGGTCACTCAAATACGAACAGCGCCAGTTGTAATAATTATTCCCATGAATTCAGTAATATTTCAGTCTATAATTCGATAAAAAAATATATAGTACGACATTCTAATGCCTTGGAAAGAAGTCAAGATAAATAAATACCAAATAAAAACGCATACAACTTGAATGATAAGAGGTTTCAAACAATATTCCAGAAGTTGTGGTTAAACAGAACACAGAGCACACTCGGTGTAAAAGGTCAGCTTTGCCATGGTCGAGTGACCAAGCTGAATGCAAATGCATAGAATGTCCTTGAGTATTGAATGGTGCATATAGGGCTCAGTGATGTCGTGCACTGATCACGGGGTGTTTAGTTTATAACCAACCAACACGCACGTATAATAGTGATGCAGATGTACTTGATGCGGTCAAACTACGAATCCAGGGGCCCATTGGTTTGATAATGAAATGGGCCCAGAAGAATGTAGTTATTTGTAAATTAATTAATTATAATTTCTAGAACTAATGTGTGTGTTTGGTGTTGATGAAACTGGACATAATAGAAAACAAGAGTGTAAGACTAAATATATATTTTGTTATGTGGGAAGGGGTGTCACATATCACGAAGCTAATATTATCGGCTCTTAACGATTCGCACTTTCAACACCGCACTATCACTGTTGTAGGTGTTAATCGATGGTTTCTGTGTTCTCAACTTATGTTCAATGACTTTAATATCACCCACCCCAAGAAATAATGGCGCACCCTTTACGCCCATTGTGTTTCTATTTGAATACATTACAGGCTGTAAAACATTCCACCTTACTACAGAATCGTAACATACAGTGTAGAAAGTAACCCCACATGCGCTAAAGCCTTCTCCGTCAGCTGAATTTCGCCGGTGTGGAACAACAGTTATGAAACTAAAACGAAGTAAACGAAAAAATGCCGAGCCGGCTGACTCTGAGAAGGTAAGTTCCGTCGTCAATTGTTGAACTACTTGCATTCAACCAGGCATTATTTTAGCTTCTTGCCAGTAAAAAGTAGGTCGATTAGTTCCTTCTATGCAGTAAACACGAATTGAATTACAGGCCACCAATAATCTCTAACTGTTGGGACACGTTCATTTATATCACAGTCACTTGTGAGTCTCTACCTACATGTAATGAAAAGTTTGTGTGGACCAAACCTACTAGATATACCGATACTAAACATCACTTTACGGGTTCATTTCAATCTCAGTTGTTGTCACAGTGACATGGCCCGGCAGGTATCACATCGGACCCTTATTAATCGTCATAATTAAATGTCTATTGACGCTGATATATTGAATGAAATCTCCACACAACTCTCACAACAACACAAAGCATAGTATAGCGAGGTCAACGGTGTCTTTACAAGTTCGGTGTTCTATACATTCTCTTATCGTGAAGGTAGTAGTTTATTTCATAAACCATAGTTGCGAACTTTTTTATCCGACCTTCCACAGCACAAAGTCATTCGTGATATGTACTAAATACTCGTTTGTCTCTGCTCCGGTTGGTTGATTCTCAGAGAACTAACTTGATTGTTGTTTCAGATTGATTGGGGGATTGAGAGTTTGTTTGTGTTAGGTCACCTTAAGGTTTGTAGGTCATAGCTATCTCCTTTCAAACGACACGCAAAACCGGGACTCACTTAAAAACAATACTGTAAAATGACTAATTTTCTCTGGGTTTATATTTCACTGATTTACCATTTCAGACATATTCAGTGGGTTTTAAATTCACGGTTTTATCATTTAGACAATGTGTTCTATGCTAAATTTTACATATTCACTGGGTTTTAATTTAGCGCCTTTTCCCAGTCAGCGAAATAAGCCAAATTAAAACCCAGTGAATAATTAACCCCTTTACAGTAAATCACGTTAGTGAAAATGCCTACTCTGACTATACGTAAACACATCTCAGCAGCCATGTACACTACACGCCAAATCAAAGATTCACAAAACTCACTGGCAGCAGCCATGTACACTACATGCCAAATCAAAGATTCACAAAACTCACTGG